GATTTATAGATATGGACGCTGCTAAGTCATGTATTATAAGCGACTAATATCGGATATGGAAAAAGGTCTATGGATTTGTAGAAAATGTGACGTCATCTTGAAACTTCAGAAATCAAAGGTTATATTCATATTTTGTATAACTAATATGTAATTAATAATATATTTTTCATTGATCAATTTTCGTGTAGCATATATCCAAGCAATTTGCAGATGTTGTTGGATACATTGGCCAAAAATATAAATGTTTCTTTGGGATTTATTCGAGGAAGAATCACAGAAGTACAAGGATGGAAAACAAAAAGTGTTGGAAACCATTTTGTGAAGAAAACTAATCAATTTTTGTTTATCTCAACAAAAACGTCACTGAAGTGTATGGTGCAAGTCCAAAAGAAGATTTAAGGTTTTTTTTTTTTTGTTTGATTGAATTTTTTTTTTTTTGTGATTTTTTTTTTAATGTTGGGAGCTTAACAATGTTAAGACATGTTAATTTATTTTGTGTTTTAGTCTTGCTTGGTAATTATAATTAAATTGATAATTTGTGTATATCGGTTTATGAAATATGCCGTGCTCAAATATATATGTACGGATATTATATTAAAATATAATAGTATACTTATGCATATTATTAAAATATAGTAATATATTTCTACATTACAAACTTTTTCCAAATCTTATTTTAGATGTATTTAATAAATTAAACAAAATCATATTTATTACTTGAAATTCTGCTATAAGCATTTAAGAAATATATTATTCGTGTAAAATGAAATTCTTTTAAAATCAACACATACCATTTTTTGGGGATTTATTTATGATATATATACACACACACACAATAAATTAAAATGAAAACTTTATAAATATTTATTGCCAAAAATTTTAATATAAAAATTTATAAAATATATTAGTCAACATTCATAGAAACGAGATTCATTTAAAATCAATACATACCAATTCTTTTCCGGCAGATAAATATTATATTGCTCGATGCCATATTGCCATCTTTCCGTTTTTTATTTATAATAATTTGACTTTTTTCTTTTATCTATATGATAAATAAAACTAAGATACACAATTAAAGTTAGAAAAAAAAAAGCGTAGATAGGTAATAAATTAATATTATATGTAAAACCAATAATTAAAAAAAAAATAGATAGGTAAATGTAGTATTAATAATTTTCCCATATTTTTTTATTTAAATTAATATAGATAAATTTGGAAATTATATCAATTTAAATTATGCAGTATTACAAATCTTTACGAATTATATCATCCGATTGTGTACTATTCTATTAATCAATCATTTAAATTCCATTAATATAATTTTATAATTTTACATTAATGTTATTTTATTAATGCATTAGAAGTCGATTTTAAATAAACATATTAATAATATATTATGACATTTATAATTTTATTATTAAAATACAAAAAAAAAGGAAAAAAAGACAAAAAACCAAAAAACCGTGTATGTTTTATGTAATTTAAAATTTTCTAAAATTAGAATACGCATTTTATGATATGAATTTGATCCCTTGCCTATTTAAGATGATTAGATTTAATTGATATAGTAATTTTAAGGAAAATATTCAATAACCATAAATATTGTTTAATATTTTAAAATCAATTCCTAATCAATATAAATCAAATCATCCGAAATTAATTGATTTGATTTCTTACCTTTTTTTTTTTTTTTTTTTTTTTCTTATTCCACCTATAATCATGTCATTTGAAATTTGAATTCTAAAATTTTCCTAATTACTATATAATTATCAAAACTATATAAACCCTCATCTATTTATCCCTACACTATTCTTCTTCACCCATTTCATTCCAGTTGTTTTTGTTTTCCGTTTTATTTATTTATTTATTTTTTTTTGTTTTTTTTTGTAATTTTTTTTCAATTGATTTCATACACTTATCGTATTATAATTTAATTTAGACGGTTTAAATTCGTTTAATATTTTTAGTTAAATGAAGATCTATGCTAATATTTTTTCTTTATGTATTTTTTGCAGATATTGTTTACAAATCCAACTTATTTCACATGTGCTACATTATTAGCGTTTGCATATAATTTTGTAATTTCATTTATTTATTTTTTGTTTAGTAACATTTCCCATGAATATTTTTTTTATGTAAAAGTTTGTATTTAGTTTTTAATTTAATTGAATTATATATTTATCATTATTCAAAAATCGATTATTGTTTTCTCAAATAGAAATGAGAGAAATCGACACTAAATCATGTATTGTATGCAATGTTCTAAAAATCGGCCGAGGCGGCCGATTTATCGGTCTCCGAGGCAGAGGCGGTCCAAAACCTTAATGATTTTAGTTTAAAGGTTTGAAAAATCGGTTTTTTGCCTGTGAGGCGGTTTTAGGCGATTTGAGGCAGTCTGAGGCGGTGAAACCTTTAAGGCGGGTCAAACTTCGGTGGCAAAAATCGGTCAAAAATCGGTGTTTGTTATTTATTTTTATTTTTTTATTTTTTATAATTCAAAATAAAAGTTGGAATTTTAATAAAGACATATGAGTTTATGCTTTATTTTGATTATGTTAACTATTATTGTTAAAGAACTAATGATGTATGCGAGAAATGTATGTAATTTTAAAAAAATCCCTTTTTATTTATAGTTTATAAGGGTATTTATGTATTATGATCTTATTATTATTAAATTTTTATTATGTTATTAGGATATATATATGATGGAGATATAACTATGTTTAAATATCTTTTTATCTATATTTTGACTATTTATAAATAATACCTACAAATATATTATATTAAATTTTAAAAACCGATTTATTTTCGATTTATCACCGCCACACCGATTAATCGTGAGTCGGTCCCTGACCGCCTCTGACCCGATTACCGTTTTTACAACCTTGATTGTATGTGGAAACGTGGAAATCAAAGATTTCTTATTTTTCTTTTGTTTGGAAATGAGGATTGGACAATATTGTTGTATGTACAAGTTTCACCACAATTGACATGTATCATCTTTTGAATGTTTTTTTTTTTTTTTTGTAAATAATAAAGACAAACAATTTGTGTACTTTTGCTTCATTAGTGCAAATTTGGAGTTTTATTTTATTTTCTTATAGTTTGCATATTTTACATTCATTATAATTTTCTATTTTATGTTTCAATCTTAATTTTTCTGAATAAATTACTACCTTAACACTATAATAATACAATCTTAAATAAATAAGTGTAATATTTTAATAAAGTATCACTTGCAACTCGAATTAAATACTTCTTAGTCATGAGGTATTTCATGAAAGATTTGAATAAATAAATCCGTAATTTTTTATTCCATTTTTTTAATCCTTACAAAATTTTGTCAAATTTTCATAATATTTCAAATGTATATAATTTAATAGCATTCCAAGTTTTCAAATATATTAATTTGTTAAACACTACAAATTTAAATTTGTTTTTTTAGTTAATTTGTTATGGATTAAATACGAACTATTAGACTATTGTTTGTTTTCAAATGTTACGTAATTCAAATTTTATATAATCATTTAATTGTATTTGTAACCTCTGGAAAAAAAAAAGTAGTTGTAATATATACATTAATTGTTTAACTATTTACGGATAAGGTCATACAATCATGGTTGACTATGAATATTGCGCCCCTATTTTGTTTGTTGTTCAAAATTTCCAACTTAAATTTAAAATTGCCTCAACTTTCAAGTAAATATAGATAAAAACTTAATAGTAGTTTTTTTGTTAAGATGGCCTTAACTTATGTGTACATTGTTTCTATATTTATAAAATGGTCTCATCTTCTATAGACGGACAAAACCTATTGCCCTAAACTTACTTTAGTTGTGTTTACTACCATGACATTAACGATGGTGTGTATAAGGTAACATGAATACCGAGCTTCTTTAAATTGTATTTGTATCTATATGTAAATCAAAAGTATAGTTTTTGTTGTTTTCTAAAACATAAAACAAAAATAATTTATATAAAATATTTGCCTAAATAGTTACATAAGCATATACATTGTGAATTGTAAAATCTTAGCGTATATCTCTCATGGTATCTAAACATCCTAACAACTACTAGGATATAGTTTCATATGCTATATAATAACTCAGATTTGAGAAATTTCATTTCAATTGTAATATATACATTAGTTTTTTCAAGTTACAACATACAATATACATTATTGTAAAAAGAATACTATATGTGTTTGATGGTGAAAATATAAAAAAGGAATAAACTTAAAGCGAATACTTAATATAGAAAACAACTAAGCAATTGAGTAATACACCTAATTAATTGGAGATGACACATTAGCAATTGAACTCAACCTAATGAATTTGAAGATACACATAAGCAATGGGTATGACAAATGTCATTCATTCATGCATGCAATCATCTTTTTATATTATATGTAGATCAATTTCGATTTGAATCAAATATTATGTTCTTATTTACTAACTCTTGCCATATTTGAATGGAATCAATTTCGATTTGTATATATTTGTTTCTTAAAAGTGTAAATAATTTATAATATGTACCCAATATGTAATTAAATATGTTACTTATAATAGAGTATATAATAAAACTACGAATATGTAATTAAGTAGAATGGTATTGAAGTGACATTAGTGTTAAAGAACTAATATTAATACTAATACTAACACTGATACTGATACTGATACTGATATTGATACTGAGACTAATACCGATAATCATATTGATACTCATACCAACATTGATACCCATACTCATACTCATACTGATAATACTATTGATATTGATACTAATACTAATATTGATATTGATAGTGATACTAATATTGATACTAATACTCACAATTATATTGATGCTCATATTAATACCCATAATACTATTGATATTGATACTGATACTAATACTGATACTGATAGTGATACTAATATTGATAGTGATACTGATATTGATATTGATACATATATTAATACTAATACTGATACTCATATTGATACCCAATTAACACTGCTCTTGATGTTGTGTTCATTGAAAACGACAAGGACGAGGTTGTGGATGCGTCAGATAGTGATGGTTATCTTTCCGAGGTTTTAATTCCCCCACTCGATTCTTGATTTTTTCCATTTCAGTATGTTTTATTTTTGGATATTGATTTAAAATCTCTAATCAGGACTTGAGCTTCCCGATTGTTGGGGAAAGTGAGACTGCGAAAACTCTAGAAGGTAGCTTTTTCGATGGATATTCTGAATTGTTGTGACCTTTTTTTTTTTTTTTACTTCCCTATCTTGCGTTGCATTTTTTTCAACTTGTTTACCATGACTTCTATTGTTGGATTAGCATCATTAATTTTTTTTTTTTAATATTCGTGCAGATGAAATTGCTACTACTACCTATTCAACTCAAAATAAGAAAATTCATGCCGATGTTTCCACTGCGAAGAAGAAATTGGATAAGTTGAAAAAGAAGGTAACTATGTTCCAATTTGTGTTTATAGATACCTTTTATGAATTGATTTATACTTTTTGAACAACATGATTATTGCCGTGGTGGCATGGTCATCATATATAGGCATGGAGAGAGAATTTCACAACCGATAATACATATACATACATATGTGTATGCATATTTGACTGTGTGTCTATGAGTGTGCATGCACCTCGCTTTGTATCTAAAGGAAATACCCAACTCTGTTACTTCTTGAATAAAGATATTTTGGTATTGGATTATGAGATTATCCCAAGACACCCATAAGAGCAAATTAGTCAAAAATACCCTTCCGTTGATGCGTTCTGTAATTTCTGTCTCTTAAGTTATTTATCTTTTGAAGTTTTTAATAAAAGTTCTTTTTTTTCTTGAAAATTTCAGGATCCAGAATTCAGCAAGTTCTTAGAAAGTTTCAAGAACAGTGCTGAATCGTTTCAAGATGACGAGGCGGTAAGATATCTATTTACTATGCATTTTTTAATTTTTTATCATAATAGCATCCAACCAAAGGTTAAATTCGAGCTTCTAATCTATGTTCAATGTAGCTATCCTTTTTCTGGAGATAAAACTATTTTTCGTGTCCGTTCTTTTCTAACAGTATTCAGATGAAAGCGATCAAGAGGCACAAGGCGAAGACGACCTCATCAAAAACAAACCGAAACTCTTGACCGATGATGTCATCAACGCATGGTGTCAGATGGTCAAAGAAGACAATAACCAGTCAGCCCTCATTAGTCTGTTAAATGCTTACCGTGCAGCTTGTCACTATGGAACCGAATCCATCGGCCATACGATTGAAAACAGTCAATCCTTTTGCAATGTCCTGCTTTTCACGCTCTCCAATGCAGATGATGTATTTCGAGGCCTACTACAGATGTCATCTTCGAAGAGCAAAAAAGAGACGCTAACCGAACTGAAAAAAACCCCGAAATGGAAATGTTTGAAACCGCTAGTCAAGTCTTTTCTGAGAAGTACGTTGTTTCTGTTGAATCAGGTTACTGACTCGGAGATTTTGACTTTTGCAATGACGAGGCTCAGAGCATCTTTGACTTTCTTCGACGCCTTCCCATCACTAGTACAGCCACTAATTAAGGTAACCTATACTCGCAGATTTCGTGTACAACGTTTTGTTCTTTTTAGCTCCACATTGCTAATCTTCAATTCCTTAACAAGATAATTCAGATATATTTCGGGTCTACTGAGAAATAGTACGAAGACTGAAAAGCTCAATTTGTAAATCAAACACCATTAACCTTTTATTTTATTTTAATTCTCACGTATTTCCATCACTTCATTTTTTTTAAAACAGGCAGCTGTGCATTTGTGGGCGACAGGTGGACCGATATTATCATCAGCTTCGTTTCTCGTCATAAGGGATTTTGCTACTATGTTTGGTTCCAAATACTACGACACCTGCCTATCAAAAACCTTTGTCGCCTTTATTTCCCGGTCTAGGGTTACAGAAATTGCCGACATCAAACATATGCAGTTTTTGAGGGACTGCGTCGTCGAGTTATTCTCTGTAAACGTGAAGAAATCATCTCTCAAATCTGTCGATTCCATGACTCGATTTTCAAAGATACTGATCTGCGGCTTCCAAACAAAGAAGAAGGTACAATTTCGAATTCAATCATTTCATCGAACTATTTGAATATAATGATCAAGAATATTGAACAACGTTCTTTTGACAGGAAGCTATTAAAAAGATATGCAGTTGGGAATACATTAACTGCATCGATCTGTGGGTTAGGTTCATATCAGCAAACATACGCGACCACGATAATAAAGATCTTCAGTATTTGTTCTTTATGACTATTCAACTTATCGTTGGTCTCGCTAATATGTTTTCTGGTCCAAGATATTTCCCTTTACGACTCAAGTGCATTGAGTGGCTCAATAGTCTTTCAATTTCCAGTGGAGATTATATTCCACTCGCTCCGTTAGTGCTCGATGTTTTGGAGTATAAAGTTGTCAAGGAGGGGAAAAGAGCTCAAAATTCCTTCACTATTGGATCGGTCTTGAAGGTTTGGATACAAAAATAAATAAAAAAGTTCGATTCTTTTTTCTAAATTTATTGCGCGTGTTAACATTCGTTGTATGTAATTGTGAATGGTGTTGCAGTTGCCCAAACAATATCTAAAATCTAGAATCTTCCAAGACGTATGCTTTCAGTCGGCCGTTGAGCAGCTGTGCCTGCACTTTGCTCAGTGGAGCTACCATATTTCATTTCCCGACCTAGCTACTATTCCGCTAATCCGATTGAGAAAGATTCACGAGGCCACAACTATAGAAAACTTGCGTCGTATGCTGAAGCGTTTGATTGATCAGGTATTCATTTCTTACTTGCACTATATATGTACTGCAACTTATGCCTATTCAAACGAGTCTATTTGCATGTAAAAATGTCTAATTGCTGGGAGTGTGGAACGGCAGGTGGAGCAGAATGTTGACTTTGTGCAGAGAAAAAGAGACGAGGTTTCTTTCTCCCCACATGAACACGAATCTGCAGATTCTTTTCTTCAGGTTTGTTTCCCACTAATCGTATTTTCAGTAAATTATTGGATATAATTTTTACGTAATGTAATGGTTAAATATTTGTACAGCTCGAGAAGTCCAGTACCAATGCTTCATTTACTCAATATTACAAAAGTATCCTGGACAAAGCTGCTGAAAGGAAATTGCAGAAATGTGGAGATATAAGGTACAGTTACATTTCACGTTAGTTATCTTAATTACCCTTTTATTGATTTGATCGATAGGATAAGGTAATTTCTCACCATTTCGTAATAGTTTATATATCGTCAATTGCTTTATTCTTTTGAAGAAATAGTTTTTTATTTTTATTTATTTATATACCTGGAGAAAATAGTTGTTGTCTTAAAGTGATAACAGCCCCCAAAACATAGAGAATGGATAAATCAATTTAATTTTAATTTTTTTTATGTGGATACAATCAGTTCATTATTACTTTAAACTAATTAGTATCCCTCTCCCTATTTTTTGATTTTTAAATGTTTCAATAGTTCTTCAACTTGTTTTTTTTTTGGTATTCACTGTGTAATTATACTGGCCGCACTTTTAATATTTTATCCGAATAAGCTATTTTTAGCAATTGTTCAATGTTATTGCAGTTTGCCAGAACAACGAAATTTGAAGAGAAATAGAGTAGAGCCAAAAAGAAAACCTGTTGGTGCAGAGGATCACCAAAATGGAGTCGCGGTTGAAAATGGAGTCATAGATACTAAGCGGAGGAGAAGAGCTCTTCAAGCTCAATAATTACCCACAAGATCGTTGGTTTTCAAAGAATTGATCTTTTTCTATATTTTTTGGAATTAGAAATACTTGCGTTTAGAATTGACAGTTTTTTTTTCATTAGATTATGTTCTTGCAATTGAAATATTTTGTATATCAAATTTGTATTTTTGACGAGAGTAGACCATAAATGACACTATAGACATATTTATGTGAGGGCATATCAATTTTGATTAGAAGTTGGTCTAATTTATTTGATTAGAAGTTGGACTTGTTTAAACAACTTCATTCATGTCATTTATAATATTTCACCGGGTCTAGGTCAACACAAATATTTTAGTATTTTAGCTTGCTTTTTTATCAATCTCTTAGTATTTTAGCTTGTTCTTTTATCTTCTCAAACCAAGTTCCAATTTAGTATCTTAGCTTGCTTTTTTATCAATTTCTTAGTATTTTAGCTTGTTCTTTTATCTTCTCAAACAAGTATTTTAGCTTGTTCTTTTATCTTCTCAAACCAAGTTCCAATTTAGTATCAATTAATCTTTTAAAATCTCTTAGTATTTTAGCTTGTTCTTGTTCTTTTCTTAGTATTTTTTAAAATCTCTTAGTATTTTAGCTTGTTCTTGTTCTTTTCTTAGTATTTTAGCTTGTTAGTTCCAAGAACCAATTAATCTTTTAAAATCTCTTAGTATTTTAGCTTGTTCTTTTGTCTTCTCAAACAAGTTCCAAGAACCAATTGTTCTAGAACCAATTAATCTTTTAAAATCTCTTAGTATTTTAGCTTGTTCTTGTTCTTTTCTTAGTATTTTAGCTTGTTAGTTCCAAGAACCAATTGTTCTTCCAAGAACCAATTGTTCTTTTCTTAGTATTTTAGCTTGTTAGTTCCAAGAACCAATTAATCTTTTAAATCTCTTAGTATTTTAGCTTGTTCTTGTTCTTTTCTTAGTATTTTAGCTTGTTAGTTCCAAGAACCAATTGTTCTTTTAAAATCTACGTCGTATGCCTACTTTTTTTTTGAAACAGTTCCAGTCGTTTTGGTAGACGGCGACGGAAAGTCGTATGCCTACTTTTTTTGAAACATTTCCAGTCGTTTTGGTAGACGGCGACGGAATTGTTAGAGCTGATGTTCCTTTTAGGAGGACAGAATCGAAGTATAATGTTGAACAAGTAGGTGCAACCGTTGAGTTCTATGGCGGCGAACTCAATGGAGTTATTTTAGCTTGTTCTTTTATCTTCTCAAACAAGTTCCAAGAACCAATTGTTCTTTTAAAATCTCTTTTACTGATGATCAACAAGACAGACTGCAATTGTTCTTTTCTTAGTATTTTAGCTTGTTAGTTCCAAGAACCAATTAATCTTTTAAAATCTCTTAGTATTTTAGCTTGTTCTTGTTCTTTTCTTAGTATTTTAGCTTGTTAGTTCCAAGAACCAATTGTTCTTTTAAAATCTACGTCGTATGCCTACTTTTTTTTGAAACAGTTCCAGTCGTTTTGGTAGACGGCGACGGAAAGTTGTATGCCTACTTTTTTTGAAACATTTCCAGTCGTTTTGGTAGACGGCGACGGAATTGTTAGAGCTGATGTTCCTTTTAGGAGGACATAATCGAAGTATAATGTTGAACAAGTAGGTGCAACCGTTGAGTTCTATGGCGGCGAACTCAATGGAGTTATTTTAGCTTGTTCTTTTATCTTCTCAAACAAGTTCCAAGAACCAATTGTTCTTTTAAAATCTCTTTTACTGATGATCAACAAGACAGACTGGTTCTTTTAAAATCTCTTTTACTGATGATCAACAAGACAGACAGAACTTCAAACATGTTCTCAAATCAAACAAGACAAAAAGAACTTCAAAAACAAGACATTAGCCGATCAACACCAATATACTAAATTGCCCTATCTTATGATATTTCATGATATCTTATGATCAAGAAGCAATCAACACCAATATACTAAATTATCAATATACTAAATTGCCAAAAATGCTGATGATTACCTATCTTATGATATTTCATGATATCTTATGATCAAGAACCAATCAACACCAATATACTAAATTGACAAGTATGCTGATGATGAACATAATATCGAAAATGCACAAGTATGTACTGACGAACCAGATCCCTATTTATAGTGAGGACATGTCCTAATGAACGGTCAAAAACTAATCGATCGTACGTGTACAATCAATCTCTAGAGAATTACAGGATAATACTCAAAGAAATATTCTAGTCCTAATTTAGAAATTTTGTAAAATTATGTACAAGTGGGAGAAGGAATCACCTTGACACTTAGCTTAGTTTTTTTTTTCTTTTTCCATTTCTTTTTCAAAGGCAATGCTGATGAAGAATTGTAAAAAGTATAGGCATCAACTATTGTAAAGTGCAGTCAAAACAAATCCAATGAATTTCATCAATCTTATGTCTAATAATCTGAAGAAAAAAAAAACATAAAAACTATGCAACAACAATTCATGACATTGATAGTAAAATGGAGGAACAATACAATGCATTTGTATCTATATATCAATCTATCTATCTACGGCGCCTCTCGCAGCCTATCGAAGATACAACCATAGCGTTTGGATGGTGGTTCCCACTACAGCTCAGCACCTTGATCAGCCCCCACAGCCCCGAGTCCGAGTCTCTGTTTCTACCTCCACCTTCGTGGTGGTTTTGAAATCTAAATGGCGGTGATGGTGGCGATGCAGCGGAGCCGTGGCGGCGGCTGCTCCTCTGTCTGATCTTGATATCACTCAACTCCACTCGAGTCGAAAATCTTGAAATCCCAAACAAGAGCAAGTACCACCTCGCTTTCCCCGATGAAGAAGATGTCAGTATAGACATCTTCTGAACCGGAAAATCATCATATTCCTTTTCATACTTGTGCTTAACGACTCTACTTTTCGAATCCACTTGTTTGTTGAGCCATTTATACACGCCCGTTTTCTTGATGTTCGTTTGCTTCATGCTCTCCACTGATTGATCTTCTTCTTGGCAGGTTTTTGGTTGTTTGTAACTAGGTATAAGCTTTCCGCAGAAGATGATGTTTTCCGGTGGGAAAGTGGCGTCGGAAGGTTCTTGGCTGAAGAACTCGAAATAGTCGTCGTGCTCGGAGGAGGAGGAAATGGAGCTAGAGCCTTGTGATTCAGTGGACAAATCTTGTTCTTCTTCCTCCCAATATTCTTCAAAGCTTTGATCACCATACAATGGAAGATCACTAAAGGAGAGTGTTTCATATGCTTCATCTGATTTTGTGTCCTCCATTATGTGTTTTGAGTGAAGGTTTTCTTCTAAGTAATGTGGCTCTATAACTAGCATTTTGGTGGTTATTATTATGGCAAATTGGCTACTAATTAAAGAGTTGTTGGATTGTGTTATTGATGAAGTTTCAAGTGGGAATTTAATTTTGGAGGGTGTGATTGGTGGATATTTATATGTATACACACAAAAATGGGTTTTTTGTGGGAAGCAAAGATTGGGACTTAGAAAAAGATTGATGTATATTTGACTAATACTAGTTACAAAGCAATTGGACCTATTGGTTGATGGCTTTTGCCTTTCTTCTAGATAGACATGAATAAACAATAAATAAAGAAGAAAAAAGGAGAAAATATTTTATTTTTATTTTTTATTTGTTAACGAAAAACCATCAGCTATATAGGTGTACTGGTCCACTGGGTAAATAAATACTTTCGTATAATAACTTATAAATTATACAAGAGATGTAAACTACACTAGGTTAACCATGTGTGACAAGCTCGATTTAGCGACCGTTGATAATAGAATTTAAATTTAAACCAATTGAAACAAACTCACTTATTCCGACCATTGCCCATCTCCAGTGGAAGGGAGAAGATAGTTGTTGTTTGTATATCCAATACATATACAATGTATTTTGTTTTTTAAAATTGAATAAAAGTATTATATTTAATTCAAAATTTTCCAATGCCTTTTCATTGTCATCTTTATATTAAAAGATGTATGAGCATTTAATTTCCCCGCGTGGGGTGGTTATGATATAATGATAAATAAAATAGGGAAATATTAGTTTATGGCTACAAAAGTATTAGTATTTAATTAGATAATCTCTCATGCAGATTTCATTAGTTTGATGTTACACAATTAGGTGTTTGAATATAATAATAGACCCACGATGAGTTAATTTGCATCATGCATTAAGCATTTAAGCTGTTTGAATATTGAGCTGATAAGTTTGTTGAGTGTAATATTATATTTTAAATGTTTTAGTAAATAAATAAATAAGATCGTATTTTAAAAAAAAATTGAAGTGAAATTACCTTTTTTTAAAATTAAACGTGACACTATTAAAATTACTCTGTGATTTATAACGATGTAGTTTTCTTAAGGATCCTCGACATATATAAAGGATGATTAAAGATAAACTATTTGATTGTTAAATTGAAGTGGTCAAGTTAAATAAAGAACTCTTATGGCTATGAAATTTAAATGCCAAAACTTTAGTTCTAGATTAGTGGTAATTATTAATTATTAATTAAATCAGGAAATAAAGATTTAAAAAACAAATGGATAAAGAAGTTTCATAATCGTGTGGGCCAGTCTTCGTTCTAGAACTGGGGCCCAATTGCCGCCCTTGAATTGTTGCCGTTAAAACTTATCTATATATAATATAAAAAGAGAATCTATGCTCTATATGATTGACATGTGGCAAATGATGATGTCATTTGTCAAAATTGCTTAGTTGGAGTTCAATTGATTAGGTGGATTCTTCAATTGATTAGGTGGCATTTTTATTTATGGATGTTTTTTAGTTCTTTCCTATTTTACATTTACACAATCATTTAATAATTACCACATGTATATATATTATTTCCAAAGTTAATATTTTATAAATTCGAATTAATAAAAATCTTATTTATATTTTCAGTATTTCAAAATATTTTTATTGAAAAAAATTCATGAAACTCAATTTTTTTACGAATATTCAAATAATTTTCATAAAAAAAATGTTTTTTTTAAATACTAAAATATTAAAATAAAGGAATATGTTGTTGTTGTTGTTGTTGTTTCATGCATTTA